AATTTTATTATTAAAAATTATAAATTATAAAACTTTGAAATATTTATAATTTAATATTACTATTACAATTAATTAATATTGTCTTATAAAAATAATTTTAAATAAAATATAAAGCAACAAAACTCTTTTTACTGATCTTTTTGCCAACTCAAAAAACAGACATTTTCAAAAGACTTTTTGTCTTTTTGATAATAAAGTCTATATATTTTCCTTAACAACACTGGTTTCTTAATCAGCAGAGTGAGCAAAAGTTACTACTTGTTTTATTTTTTTTTTTCAAAACACTTTTCTTGTTTATTTTGGCAACTAAATACAAGAAACCTATTTAAAAGGTCTATGGCAAGAACACCTTTCTAGGAAGAAAACTGACAAAAAAAAATATTCTCCAAAGATCTCCAAAAGATTCAAGAATTCAGAGAAACAAAAACAAAGAAGTCTCCAGTCTTTCCATTATCTCTTTGGCTTCTTTCTTTTTTTTTTTCAAGCATTTTTTTTTTTCTGATTTTTCTGAAGAATTTTGCCTACCTCAGTTTGATCCTGAATTTTTGGTTACACTGAATCTTCTGAAAGATGATTAGTCAAGGCCATGGATTGGTTGATCATGCTAGTTTTAGAAAAAGTAAACAAGATATGTACTTCTTATGTGTTCCCAGTTACGCAATATCAAACCAATAATATAATTGGTTTCTGAAAGAGTTGAATAGTTTTTGATTAAAAGAGTAGTATGGAAATATTAGGTGAAATAAAAGTTGTGAGTAGAAGAGGAGTGACCTCTTTTTGTTTCTATCCTTTTATTTTCTTTTTTCTTTTCTATTTTTTCTTGAGGACAGAAAGTAGCAACAAGGTCTAGATCCTATTTCAATTTGATAACAAGTTGAAGTACTGATATTTATCCTAAAAATAGTTAGAGAAAGAGATTTTAAAACTATTTACCAGTTGAGTGAAGCAATAATTCCAGAAGATATGACTTGGGAGAAAAATCAACAATAGAAAACCAACATTCTTTTTGGTTAGAAGTTTTCAAGTGTAAAGTTTCAAGAAATACTCTTCTAGAAGTGCCCTTAAATATTCTTGGACATCGACTACTCCAATGGAAATTAAACAATTTGTCTAACCACAGGTGATAAGAAATGGAAAACCATAAGGGGCTTGGGTTTTAAGTTTACTGAAATAACCTTTTCAATAATAGTTAGAATAGATGATAACTTTTTTCTTTTCTTTTTATCAAAAAATTTCTTTTTTTATTCATTTTTCCCCTTGTATAGTTTCTACAAAAGAGAATAACACAATTTGGATTTATAGTTGTAACTGTGAAGGTGATCTGCAAGTTTTAATCCTATCAGAAGTTCAAGATCTTAATCCCATCCTTTAGGGGAACAATATATCATCCCCATAAATCGTATCTAAAGGTTTCAGCTGTTGATGGGTGAGTTGGATCAAGGAAATTTGGACTTTTATGTATTCTCGTATATATAATGATTCTTTATAATTTAATAAATAAATGATATCAACCTAATTGTGGGATTAAAAAATATATATATAATTATAGAATATTACCTTTCTTGAGAACATAACAATAGAAGTAGATAGTTATGACAATTGTACATAAGTATAGGGTATATAATATTTGATTATTATAAAGAATATCTATTGAAAAAAAAAATTTATAATTATATAACAATAAGGGCTCACTGAGCAATACCTTATTGTTATTTTATTACTGATTTATAGAGTACTACAGTGATAAAGAAAATATGAACAATAATATAAACAAGCAATTTATTAAAAAAATAATTTTGAAGGTTCATAATTTACATGTGGATTTGAAAAATAAGCAAAATATTTAATATTGCTAAAATTAAGACCAGAATCTTTGTATGGATAGCTCTTTATTCAGAAAGGATTAAGATTTCAAACAAAAAAATAGAAAATATATTAACCTGCCAAGGAAAAGGATGATAATTAGAAATAGAATACTAATACTGAAATAAGATTAATTAAAGCTTATTAACATATTTACAAAGTGTTAAAATTTTCAAGTACAAAGTATCTTCTTAATAAATTATTACTATCATCTAACTAGCATTTATCTTAAAAAGTGAAGTAATATGAGATTGATAATGACCAAAGGATTTTTGATTATAAATTTGAAGATATCATAGCTGATTTCTTTGCTTTTGATATTGAGACTACAATTGGAATAATTGGTTTCACAGTTCAACTAACTCTTTTTAATATTTTGAATATTTATATCTAATAATGATATAACCAAGGAACTTGATCTTTTTTTAAAGGATTATGATGCAATTAACAATAATATCAGGATATTCAATATTATAAGCAAATCTGTTAATATCAAGTATAATTGAGATTAGATAGAGATAAAAGTATAGCAAGAAAAATTCAAGTTCTTAACTAATAATATTAATTAGTATAAACTCAAAACTTATATAACTATCCTATATTCTGAAAAAAATTTTACACTATAGAAAATGCCCAAACTCATATGTCAACAATCTGCCTTGAAAAAAATGAACTTACTTAAAATGAATATACTTTCTATTTTGAATGAAATCCTGAGAGATTTATCATGCTATACAATTTAATCATATTAATTAATGAATCTATTAGAATAACAATCTTGGAAATTACTTGATATATGTAACAATTCCATTGAATTGCTATATTAGTCCATTTGTATTACTTAGGAGAATTATTGAAAGTTATAAAGAATTCATAACAAACTTGAAAAAAATATATTCAAAAATATTTATTATTTAATTATAGGAAATATTATTAATTTGTCACATAAACTATGAAATTTTTCAGAAAAATATAAACCAAATCTATCAATATACTATATTGCTAAAATAATCAATAAAAATTATTAGAATAATCTTTTGATTTTTATAAAAAGTTTAGGCTTAAAGGATTTTATTTTTTAAAGAAAGGAAATATGTAATAGAACAAATAATTTAGTTTTATTCTACTTATTTCTGATTGAATTATTTTTTTATTCTATTTTTAGCAATAGTATTTATTCATTTATAGCATATATAGTTATTTATAGTTTGTATAATAAAAATTGAATTGCCCAGAAGATCTAAATAACTTATAAGATTCAAAAAACCTATAAGGCTGTCTAATCTATAAAATTATGACATCGCAATACATAAATCAGGCAGTTCAAACAATCCAAGCAACTTAGGCAACCTATGAAAAAAAACACTATATAAGTAGTTGCTATTCATGAAATTGTTTAGTTAGTTTTAAGATAAACCATTTTTGTAATTTTTTGGAATTTTGTTTTGGATTTTAATAAATATTCTTATTTTATTAAATATATTTTGATTATAAAAATTCTTGAAATATTTGTAAGAGATTATTTTTGAAACAACAAATAGTTCTATATAATCTCTAATTTCTTTTAAAAACTATTATTTGAACATTTAATCAAAACAATTATGATTACAATATTTAAATAAATATTTTTTTTTTGTTTTAAAAGCTTTTTTAAATACTATATATAATTGATAAATTAATAATATTATTATATATTTTATTCTAAACTTAATCTTATATAAAATATATTTTTTTAATCAATAAAAATTTTTAAAAAAAGTTTACTTGATATTTTAAAAAAAAATCTTTATTTTATTTAAATTATTAATAAATAATTATCAAAATAACAAATAATATTAAATCTTTTTAAAAATTAATAATTCAAATAGAATTTTAATTATAATATGTAATTAATTATTTTTTAATAAAAATTATAAGATACATTTTATTTTAACAAAAAAAAAACTTTTTATTATTATTGTATATTAAAAAAACATTTTTTTTTGCTTTTATTTTACTTTTAATAAAATTTATATAAATAATTTTTTAAATTTTTTAAAAATATATTTATTATAATAGATAATAAATTAATTTAAATATACTAATAATATATTTCAATAAAATAATTAATAAAATATAGTTTTTTTATTAATTATAAAAAATATCAATATTAAAAAATAAATAAATAAACAGTTATTATTTTATACCATTTTTTAATACGAAATTACAAAATTTATAATATTTTTTATTATAAAAAATTAAAATATACCGATTTTTCATTATCTGATATTAATAAAAAAAACCAAAAATTCAAATAAAATTTTATAAAATTTTATAAATATTAAATATATTATTTTATAATTATTTTTAATTAATATTAATACTAATATAATAAAAAAAATATTTTTTTAAACAATATAATGCTTTAAAAATAAAAAATAAAGTTGATATATTTTTTGTTATTACTATATATACAGTATATATATCATGATACTTTATCTTGTACCTATTGTTATATTTATATATACAGTATATACAGTATATTATTTTTATCTTTTATAATTGCCTTTTACTTAAGTTCAAAAAAAATTTTTTTTTTAACTAATGAATTGTGTATTTTTCGTTGCATGCAAAATTTATCGTGAAAACAAACATGGTTTCTTGTTTTAAGAAGTTTCTACCAGTGTTCTGCGAAAATCGAAAAAAAGATTAGTGTTACTATGGTAATTTTTATAGACTACACACTACGTCATTAATTTTTATTCCGGTGATGACATATTCTGGATACATTTTAACTCGTGTCACGTTTTACCTATACTTGTGTGCTTTTTCATCTTTTGGAATCAAGGGTGACATTCTAATGCCTTCTTCAAATATTATTCCGTAAACTATGCTTTTGTCGCATGGTCACGCGAATAAATCATCAGTCACATGATTACACAAAAAAACCGATACAAAACGCATGATACGAATGGGTTCTATTATCACATCACAGATATAAGCTTATCGGTAAATGGTACAAAAAAAATTGACATATTTTGGTTTCTATAATCAAGAAATTCTTTATTAAAAAGAATACTAAAATTACAAAAAATCCAAAGGTCAATAAAATGGATTCTAATTCTCATTAGTTTAACTACTCTATCAGAGTACTAATACTACCAATTCCAAACTCTAACGCATCCTACGACTCTTTGGATCTGTCTAATCAACTCAACGTTTATAATGTGTTTAGTCTGTATTCTCAGGTCTTCTAATTTGTTGCTACGTTTCATCTGATGCAAGCGTTTTCCTTGCAAACCGACATAATATTTTTCTTTACCATTACTACCACATTTATAGCCATTCACGCAGCATCTTCCCCTTCTTTTATTTTTACATTTACCATCTTTCCTCACAAAACCGTCGTTGCTCGTGTAACGTCTGCCACTTTCACTCTTTTTCCCGTACTTACCATACTTGTCGCCGCGGCCACGCATTCCCATACCATCGCAACGGTGATAATGATATTCACCGCCACATCGAAATCTATCCAACAGTACCTCAAAATGATCATTGTTTACGCAGCAACTCCATAATATTTCAAATTCCTTTAGCTTCGAGAAACTTTCTAAGAATAATTCTAGGCTTTCTGCAGTAAATGTCCAAGATGAACGTATCGCCAGTTTTTCCAAATTATTGGCGTTAATTACACTAATTTCTCTAAATATGTTATCTACATTTATTTCGGGATATTTAGGACCAAATATCGTAAGACATTTTAGATTTATACACGAACTTATAAATAACGGTAGTTTTGAAATTGTATTGGTATCAATATATAATCGTGCTATTGTTAGATTCGGACAATGGAGTGAAATTGTTTCAAGAATGTTCCGTGGTTGTAGGTTGTGAGGAGCATTATAATTAGAATTAAAGGTAGTGAAAGAAGTAATCGAATTGGTAATGGTGGTGGTGGGTAGCGTTTGTATTTGAGAAATTTCCAACTCCTCCAGACTAATATTTGCCCTGCTAATTAGTGATTCAAGTATTTGGCTAGGAGCGGTCGAAATTATAATCCTCGTAATACGAGAACTTGATATATCATTATAGGGTAAATTAGAAACACAATTTTGTAAGTAATAACAAGAGCTCAGCATCAGTCGATCTAATTGGGTCTCTGAGATCAGCTTCAATAGGGAACGCCAATCTTTGAAATCCACCCTAAAAAAGGTTATTGTACGCAACGAGCGTACTTGTGTACCTAATGCCGTTATGATATCGTCCAGGCCCAGCCCACAATAACCCAGTTCAAAATGCTGTAGATTTCTTTGAGATTTAATCAAAATTATGAGGCCTTCCACCTGAGCTTCTAGACTATCCATTCCATGTTTTTGTGAACCTTTTTGACTAATAATATTTGGTGGCGGATAGTAATCCATCCAAATCTTTATTTTTCTCAGATTAACTACGGACTTGGAAAGTGTCATATACAACTCAGCATTACAAGCGGTCGTGCAAATGAATTTAGAAAGATTGGCGAGGTGATGATTGGTACTAGGCAGTAGAGAGTGTAACCACGAATAAGGTTCCATCTGATTGCTAATACTTAGAGTTTTGAGATTTATCGATGGATTCCTTAATATTTTTCCCAGAATGGTTCTATTGTACAGATCGGCTCTTGCTCTGGACGATGTGACATTGGTGTGATTTGAGGCAGCGGCGGCAACAGCGGATATGAATTTGTTGTACCCCAAGCGTTGGGGTTTTGATGCTGTTGTTTTTGTATAGCCGATGATGCCCATGTGGGATGAATCGTTTTTGTGGTGAGACGACGTGAAGCGATCGTTAAGAAAACTTCTTTTACCTTGCGTATTCTCCGCCATTCCAAGAAGCGCATTTGAGAATTCACCGATGTCCAAACTTTTCAAATATTGAAGATAATTGAAGGTAGGTGGTTTGATGTTGGATTGTTGAGGTTGTCTTAGTGTACTGCGGTGTCTGTCGTTGGAGAGGGTATTTAATTTCTCCTGATATTGAATGCAAGAAAAGTACGTCTGAACGAGACATGTTGCTCGCTCATTCCATGACCTATTATTCGGATCATCCCTACGGAATTTCTCTAATAATTTAAAAGGTTGGAGCCATAAATATATCAAGGCATTTTCACACCATTGTCTGTTGACAAGAGCGCAGGAGTGTAGCGATGTGGCATCTTTTCGAAGTTCCGCAAATATCTTCAATAGTATTTCTGAGGGTAAGATTATTGTCATGATTTAATTTTAAGGTTTAGGGGAGTTGGAATTTGAAATTAAAAATTAAAAAAAAAAAGGAGAGCAGAAACTGCAAATACGGTGCTTATATACTGATCATAAATCACGAGCGCAGCCTGTGTTCATTCAGATCACTGAAGCTAAAGCTGTTTTGTACACAAACTTGTTTTAGCAGCAGCAGCAGCTTAATAAGGAGCTCATTATAATTAACAGACAAATTTCATTTCACTAATGATGGGGAAGTAATGAAATCAGTTATTATCTTAAAATATCAAAGTTACTTCAAAGATTAAAAATTAAACTTTATGAGTCTGTCTTTCGGATGTTTAAAATTTAACTCCTAAAACACGTGATTCCTTAAGCGTTTTTGTCTGTACAAAAATGGAAATTCATTGGAAAATCTTCTTTTTTTTATGTTCATGCATAATTAACAATACGCATCACATCATAGGTTTTTTCTTTTGGTAGTGTACGGTAAATCTATTGTTGATGAAATGAAAGTCTTCATGATGATAATCGATTTCACTGAAATTTGAGTAATCGAACGAGAGTAAATTAGTGACCCAATTATTTCTTTCATAGGAAAGTCGAGAGTGCTACATAAATAAATTAGTGGATACCATCAATTAATTATTTGAGATCAGATCGTCGTCAACGGAAAATAGTGATGTAATAAATTTCCGATCCCAAAAATTAACACTTATGTCTCTATCAATGCTCCTTGGAATGTGTTTGAGGAAAACGTGATCGCACTGGAATTCTGACTGAAAATATTGAAATGTGAAAACAGATGGAATGAATTCTGAAAACCGAACTTACCAATGGGAAACGAACTTCCTGTTAAAGGTTTCTCATTTTAAGTAAAACAAAGAAAACATTTAGAATTAGCATATACTGTACCTTCGAGTTCACCCTACTCACTTCGTAATTTCAAAGCTTCCAAATTCAAATCTATCAACAAGACTATTGATCAAGAATAGAACGATTAAAAAAACCGGCTGTGTCTTACGAATTAATGTTAATCATCTCTTGGATATAGTGAATTTCGCTACAAAAATGGTATGTGAATTTTTCTTTTTTCTATCATATCAGGCATGAGACACGGATGATCATATTTAAAATAAAGTAATTACGTACAGCCAATGATATTTTGTTCCGACGTCCAGGACGAGATCGAAATGAGAAAAAGTGATTCTCACGGACTTTTCGGATATTAAATGCCCAATGAAAGGTATAACGTAATATCTATCGATATATAACGTAATTGTTAACAATAATAGATTAGGCGATTGTGCAACAAGAAATGGACCTTCGCGGAGGAATAGACTTTGGTCCCTGAAATATTCTGGAGTATTCCACGATCCGTTTCTGCAAATAATGTAGGATTATAAAACAGACCATCTTTTAAAAGGATTAGCTTCGAACGGAGTTGTCAAATGATTGTAGGAATCGTCTGCACAAGCATAAAATGACTTTATGATGACAACTATTTCTTAATGAGAATTTGATGCAAAATAAAAATACATATATCAGCTGATCTATGTTGACAAAATTTTGATTTAAAATACTAATCATAATTAATATAATAACAATTTACATTCAATTTATTAATTTTTAAATAAAATATAAAACCAACTTGTTAAAAAGAATGAGCGCCTAATAAATGCATACTGTTTATTAAATCTTTATAGAAAACAAATAATGTATAATATATTGTATTGCATAAATTATTTTACTGTCTGCTACAAAAACAATTATTTATATCATTAATTTATAAAAAGGCTTGATAAGTTCGTATATTTACTATACTGTATTTGGCTAAATGCTATATTTATTATATTTATTATATTTGTGATAACATACAAAAATAACAATCAATATTATGATATACAGTATTATAATAAAAAAAAAGTAAATAAAATCGTACATATAAATAAATTATTTGATAAATGTTTTTAAATTTTTAAAATCATAAAATCAAAATTTATGTATTTTTATACTTAGCAATCTTGTTAAGAAAAAAAAAATTTTTTTACAACAAATATTTTATAATAATATTATTAAATTTAAATCAAATATTTTTGTTAAAATAGAGAAAAATTAAAAAAAATTGAAATAATTTGAAATATATATATATTTATTTATTTATTTAAAATCTATATATTAAAAAAATTGAAAAAAACAAAAAAATGATAATAATAACATATATTATATATACAATATACAGTATAACAAAACTTTTTGAAATTTTTATTATATGACATAAATATAAATAAAAATTTTCAAAATAAAAACAATTCATATAAAATTTTAAACATATAAACAACATATTTTAACAAATATATAAATTATTAAACCCTTTAATTTTTTATAAACTTATAATATTATTTTGTAAAAAATATATACAATGTCAAAATATATTATATTTATAAATAAAAAATATTCTAAAAATAATATAACTATATTAATTATTTATTATAATCTTAAAAAATTAAAACAATCCAAAAAAATCAATTAATCAATACTTGTATTATGGTTAAAAACTTTTTATAAAAACTTTAATAATTAAATTATTAGATATAAATAACAAAATATTTTGTATAATAATTTTAAAATATTTAACAAGATCAAGTTATAAACATATTTATTTTTAAAGATTTATATATTTATTATTGTTATAAAAAAGTTTATTATAATATTCCATATTACTACATATAATATTTAATGCTAAAAAAGTTATAAACAAGGTATTGTTTTATAATTAATAAAGAAAAACTTTATTAAATATGAGAAAAATCAAACAACCTTGTTATTTTCTAAAGGAAAAAGAACTTTCTTATATAATGTTTTTTTAATATAAATAAATAAAGTAAAAATACAAGTTTAAAATAGTACATACGAATGTTATAAAAAAAATTTTTATAACTATTAAATAAATATTAATTTAAAAAATATAGATTTATTAAATTTTTAAATTCAAAATTTATTATATTAATATTAATATTTTTTTTAAAAAAAAATTATTTAATTTATTATCTTATTCTTTTATTTTATTTTTTAAAATCTTTTGTTTAAAAAACAAAACCTATATAAATATATATATATATTACTTTTTTTTAAACAAAAATTAAATAAAAACTAAAAAAAAACTTTTTTTCAAACAAATATCCACAAACACGTAAATCTTTTGCTCGACAATTCGCATTTGAATAAAACTACCAAAAAAGGAAACTAAAAATTTTTTCTTTAAAAAAAACTACAAAGAACTCTAAAGGGTCTTTCTCATCCTTCAAGTGTCAACCTATTGAATCAACTCACACTCTACTTGATACCCTCATTACCGATGTTGACAAATGCCTGGCTATAAACTTTCATAAAAATAACAATACCAACATTGTATATATTATTAATTCCTATTGCCAATATTTGCCTTCCAAAATTTGAAAATCTACTTAAAGCATGACTGATACCAGAACATCTTCAAAAAAATGGTCACAAAGTCTTTAAAGTAATCTTAGTCTCCTTTGAAATATATAAAAAAAGAATTCAGAAATTACTATACTGAAGTCAAAACTAATATTTTAAATTCCATGTTTCTAAAAACAATAAACTTATTTTTTGAGTATAGTGGGGGACATAAGTACACATCCAATAAAAATATAATATTTTTAAAAAATATATACCTATTTTGGTATTAATAATTTAAATTTTAAATACGTTATTTTATTTTTTTTAATAAAAACTAATAAATAACGTTTAAAAATTTAAAAAAAATTATTTATATTTTAAGATATAAGTTTTTAAAGTTTTATTAACTACTATATTAATTATTATAATTAAATAAAAATTTGAAACAATTAAGTTCAAAGCTTTAATATTTTGTAATTGGTTGATTAATATAATTAATCACATGATTTTACAATAATAGATAATATGTTATTAATTTAGTTTTTACTTATAGTTACGCTCTGAATTAATAATGATAAACCTTAGAACTTTAAATAATGGGTAGACCTACAAAACGTACACAACTTTGCCGTAAACTTGCCAATAAAAAAAAAAAGTCGAAGTCTTTTAATAATACAGTATTTCATAATTATTCTGTTAATAATGATTTTACTGATTATTTCACTGATATAACTGAAGAAAGCAGTAACGAATCAGAAGTTGAAGATTGGAATGATGATCAATTGAATGAAGAAGCTGAAGATTTGTTTAAAGTATTGGCTAGAAATATGACAAATTTTTCTCAATCAAATCGTCCATCAATATATACAAAAAAATCAAGAACAACTCAATATCGATATAATATCAATGCAAAAAAAATAGCACAGAAAAATGGACAAACTTTACTTAACTATTTTAATAATATTCCTTCTACTAGTGCGAACATATCAAAAAAAAAATCTTATGATAGTGAACAGTTAAAAAAAGCAATTTTTGATATTAATAATATTAAATTAGACAAAGAAATAAGTCCAGGACAAAAACTTCGTATAGAAGCAATTAAGTATTATTTACAACTTCAACAAAATGGTCAAGGTAAAGTTAATGCTAGTTTAATTATTGCACAATTGTTTAACCGTGGTGAATGGTTTGCAAAATGTGTTCGTAGTTGGGGAAATACATTTATTAATTTTAGAACTATTCCAAAAAGTAAACGTGGTCAGCATTTTCATATTAGAAATATTTTAAATGATGAAAATGTTCATTCAAAGATGATATCTTTTTTAAGAGAACATAAATTTGATATAACACCACATCAAGTTTGTGAATATTTTTCAAATGATATTGCACCTTCATTAGGTATAGAATGTCGATCTAAAATAAGGTAAAATATGTTTTAATAATTATCGTTATATAATTATAATTAATTTATTTATTAATTAATTATTTTTAGTAAAAAAACGGCAAAGAGATGGTTAAAAAAATTGGGCTTTATATTTTCAAGATTTACAAAAGGAATTTATTTTGATGGTCATGAAAGATCTGATATTATAGAATATCGTCAAAAATTCTTAGAAGATATGATACAGTTAAGTATTATTATATATAAAGTTAATTATGAAAATTATTAACATTTCTTTTTTTAATTAAATAGATATCAAAAAATGATGCCAGTTTTTATTGGAGAACAACTTGAAGTCCGAATTGATCCAGAACTTAATGAGTTTGACCGTCTTCATATTTTAGTTACTCATGATGAAACAACTTTTGATTCTCATGATGGAAATCGTGAAGGTTGGCATCCACAAAATGAACAACCACTTAAAAAAAAAAGTTATGGAAGAAGTATTCATGTTAGCGAGTTTTTAACAAAAACAATTGGATGCCTAAAGTTATCAGATAAACAAATAGAAAAGTTTGGAAGTTCTATACCACATGAAGTATATGTAATAATATATCTGGGAAAACAGCAAGATGGCTGGTGGGATCTTGAGCAATTAATTATACAGGTAAGTTTAATAATATTAAATAATGAATATATGTTATTTGTTCTATATTAATTTAATTATTAATATTAGATAACAAAATGCGCTATATCTATTTTTGAAAAAACACATCCTGGTGCTATAGCAGTATTTGCATTTGATAATTCATCAAGCCATGCTGCAGTTGCTAAGGATTCTTTAAATGCTTTTACTATGAATCTTAAAGATGGTGGAAAGCAGGCAATATTACATAATACTAGTTTTAATGAACAAAATCAATCTATTATACTTTCAGATGGTCGTTCTAAAGGAATTCAAACTGTTCTTACTGAGCATGGACTTTGGAAACCTCATCTTAAACTTTTCTGTGGGGTCAAAGAAAGAATTATAATTAATGCTGATTGTTGTGCATAACATATTTTTGCAGCACAAGAAGATTTTAGAATCAGCAAATCCCAAATTCAAGAAATAATTGAGAACATGGATCATAAAGTTATCTTTTATCCAAAATTTCATCCTGAATTGAATTTTATTGAGTAATACTGGAGAGCGGTTAAGAGATATACACAGCAATATTGTGATTACATCTGGAGTGGTTTAAAGAAAACTATTTCCTTTGCATTGGACTCTGTTTCTTTATTAATAATCTGAAAATATGCAATCAAATCTGCATGATTTATGGATTGCTATCGAAAAGGTTTAAAAGGACCACAAGCAGAATTTGTTGTTAAAAAATATAAAAGTCATAGAACTGTTCCCGATACAATTCTTAAAGAGTTTGATAGCGAATTTAAAGTAAGCATACTTTTCATAGTAAAACATTATATTAAACGACAGATTTATTTTTTAGAAATTTACTAATCTAATTAAAACTCATTTAGGATCAAGCGGAATCACAAGAATTTCCTCCAAATATCCTTCCCTCTTCATTACTTTAAATTTATCACAAATTCCCAATCATACTTGTTTTTGTGTCATTTTCATATATCTATTTCATCATTAATTAGGTCTTTCACTATTATTTTATTATATTTCTTTTTCTCCTTACATTTAGAATAATAATTAAATAAAAATAATGTTTACATGCAAATATATTGTAACATTTTTAGTATTAACAAAAAATTAAAATTTTATTATAACAACTAGCATATGTTTTGCTAATAGTTAATTACATAGTTTGATTACATATCAATTTTGATATACTGTACCTTATAGAAGTGAGCATATATTGTTATTTATTTTTTTTTTTTTGAAAAGTGCAAATGGCTATCATGCTTTATTATATTTATTATACTTTCACTTACTTATAGGGTAAGGTACAATAATCAATAGCACGACATATGTCTCTCTTTGCTAGAAAGAGTTTAACACAAGGCTCCCATATGGGGCCAGACCCTTGTGCTCTTTTAGCACCATCCAAGAAATATAGACAAAAAAGAAATTCAAAAATCTATATCTAATTATGAATGATGTCTAGCTACCTGGAATTAAATGTATATCTAATCACATGAAGACACTGCAGCCAATCTATACAGGTTGGCCTCCAAGTCATGATTAGGATTGGCACACCTGTTTTTCAAATATGGCTTGATGTATGGCAAGCAGAGTAGTATTGGAGATGGTAGGAGATGAATACCTTTTTGCATGAAGGTGCTGCAGTCACTTTATACAGGTTTGCCTCCAAGTCACAAAAAGGATTTAACATGCCCATGCTTCAAGTGTAGTGGAAGTGTCCTATGGGTGGAATTCTTATTGGTTTTCTTAATGGCGCTGGAACCTAACCTTGTACAATAGATTTACATTGTTGAAGGAATGAGCGAGAAACTTCCGTTGTCATCACCAGCTCGTGTTGCTGGAGTAACTAGAATCCCTGGTCGTCATGTATTACCCTACTAAGTTCCCCAATCATCAGCATGACACTTGCAACTAATCTAGCTTATTGCTAGTTGCATTGGCATTGGCTGCCATTTCACTCTGGATACTGTAGGGCACAACTCCTTGGGTACTTTTAGATAATAATAGTTGTACAGAGGTTTCTTGGGTGTATCTAGTCTAACCGCCGATTGGTAAACAATGCCGGGTTTGGTAATGATAACCATGTTGATCTTTTGGAGGGGGTAAGCTATCTGTCCTTTTTCTGAGGAGCCATGGAAGAGAAAAAAATTCCTAAAGCCTACGTCCTAAGAAAGGTTATCGCTTCTTAATATGGTTCTTGAGAAAAAGGAATCAACTGGCCAGAGGAGTGATGTTATGGAGATGGAGTTTTCAAAGAAAGAGAGGCCTAGGGAGGAAAACCTTTAGGGAAAAAGGAAAAATCTAGTTTCGGCAGGAAGAAAAGGAAAAAACGGAAAGGAGAGGTAAAAGTAAAAAGAAAGAGCATATAGAAGAGAGAGGAGAAGATAGGAGAAGGGAAATAAGAGATATGAGGAAGGGGCATAGAGTGAAGGGAAAAGGGAAGACGAAAAAAGAGTAAACAACTTAAAAATTTCCTAAAAAGGAAATTTTCAAGTGTAGAAAGGGGGAGTGGGAAAGAGTTTTTTTTTGCATATATTGTTATTTGTTTCAAGCATAACTCAAATTTCACATATGAAAATATGGTTAATCTGCAATATTAAGAACAATAATATAGTTAATCCACTTTTCTTATAAATTTGTGAAACAAATAGAATATATGCTTATAAAAACTTTACTATTTGCAATGTTAAGAACAATAATTTTGTTGTCGCCATCACTATTAATATCACCATCACTATTGATATCATACTGCCATTGCTATAGCTATTGCCATCACCATCACTATCCCCATCATCATCGCTATCCCTATCGTCGTCGCTATCCCCATCATCATCGCTATCCCCATTATCGTCGCTATCTTCATCGCCGTTATCACCATTGTTGTTACTGTTGCTGTTGTTATCGTCGTCATCCAACGTTGTTGTTGCTATCATCGTCACTATTGTTGTTGCATCATCCTTGCCATTGTTGTTGCTGTTGCTATCGTTGTCGCCATTGTTGTTGCTGTTGCTATCGTCATCACCATTGTTGTTATTGCTATCGTCGTCGCCATTGTTGTTGCTGTTGCTATCATTGTCATCATTGTTGTTGCATTGTCATTGCTATTATCATCACTATTGTTATTTCTGTTGCTATCGTTATCGCCATTGTTGTTGCATCGTCATTGCTATTGTTGTTGCTGTTGCTATCGTCGTTACCATTGTTGTTGCTGTTGCTATCATCATCGTTATTGTTGTTGCATCGTCGCTATTGTTGTTGCTGTTGCTATCGTCATCACCATTGTTATTATTGCTATTATCGTCACTATTGTTGTTGCTGTTGCTATCGTCGTCGCCATTGTTGTTACATTATCGTCGCTATTGTTGTTACTGTTGCTATCATCATTGCTATTGTTGTTATTGCTATTGTCGTCACTATTGTTGTTGTTGTTGCTATCGTCATTACCATTGAATCCATTTTTCTTATAAATTTGTGAAACGAATGAAGAAATGTTTGTAAATTTTTATTTGCTACAACAATTTAATTAATTCACTTTTACTATGAATTTACAAATATATGCTTGTGAAAACTTGGTTGATCTATTTTTCTCATGAAATTACGAAAGAAATAGACAAGCTTACCTACTATAAAGTTGAAAATTTAGTTAATTCACCTCTCTAATAAAATATTTTTTTTTATAACAACTCCTTTCTTACGAATCTGTAAAACAAACAAAAAATATGCTAGTGAAAACTTACAATCTGTAATATCAAGAAGTCTTTTTATGAATTTGTGAAACAATACTTATCATTATATTAAAATACTCGAGTGCGCAATTTATAAATGTTCAAAAGTCAACCAATCTCATTACCTGCAGGGTCATTCAACATGATATTTTAAATAGACCAACACGTGACCATTCACCCATTTTTAGTAATGATCTTTGTTCAAAAATTGAAACAATGTAATGTGTACTTATGTCTCCTACCATACTAATACTAATTGAAGTGGAGGTCTTTAAATTATTCTGCTTATTTTTATTATTAATTTTTTTTTGGAAGGGTTTTTCCAGTAGATAGCCATCATTTCTTTATTTTAATTTGTATATAACAAGGTATACATCATTGAAAGAAACAACATCTCTTTTATTATTTTAGAAAAGTTAAATGCTAACTTGTCTACTTATCAATATCTAACTAATATGTAAAAAAATTCAAAATCAATATTAATGTGCTAGATAAGGCTGAGTAGCAGTTATGCTTACTATTCCAGGAAATTTTGCAAATTCTTTTGATTTTTTAAATGTAAAAAATTGAAAAGAAAAATAAAATTGACTATAATTAGAACTAAATTAAATATACCATATAACCTATGCATTGAATGCAAGAACTCCTTGGTAGGCTTGTGGTCTCAACTCTCCAGCTCTTCACATGCTATAGATAATAGAGTACACATGATGTTGTTTGTTGTTATGGTCATTGATGATGAGTTCTTTGTTATTGTTGTTGTTGTAATCATTGTTGTGATACAAAACTGGTTTGAGCTTGTTTGGTTTTTGTATTGATTAAAAAGAACTCCAAAGAATTATATAACCATATAACAGATAATAAAATCTATTACAAAAAGGTAATTATAATTATTTAAAATATAAAAAAAAAAAACTCTTTTCCACAACATCTTTATCCATAGAAAATTGTCTTTTTAGGAAGTTTCTTACTTCCAAGAAACTTTGTCTAGTGGATTATGTTCTTTTGGGAGGGATATAAATCAGAGAACTAATTTAGAGCAGTGAGATTTTAAGGATAAGATTGGCCCCTGGGGTTTCTAGCAATGGAACCCACACTAAAAGGTCTAGTAACTGGTAATGGCACTAGGCAATAACTTGGAACAAAGAAGATGAATAAAAAGAAAATTTTTTATATGAAGGCCATCTCTATACATAACTGCTATAAAACAATTATATCTCTTATCTTTAACTCAAAAACAATCCTATTTTCAAGAGGCAGCATTTTATTTTTTTTAGAGTTTTTTTGTTTTTTGCTAATAATAACTAGTGCTAAATTTTATATAATCTTCTGGTTAGTTACCAGTCCTCGCTTACAAATTTCAACCTAAAAACTGTAATCAGCTTACTTCCACTAAACGATCTACAACACATAAAACATCAATTACACTTCATATCACCTTTATACATCAAAACAACACAACAACTTATCAGATTGGGAGAGCACATAATTAGTGCCCTACATGGGTTCTAGTAATCACAACACATAACATCTCATCAAAACAACATAATAGACATCTGAAACATACTCCAGTTATCCTATTATTTATATCACAACATGACCATATCACATAATAACAATATCACAAAACATTACACAACCAAACTTATCAAATTACATGTGGCTTGTGTAATGCCAACACCTATGGTTTCAAAAATTGGAATCGAACAGAATTGCATAAGGTTTGGAACACTATTAAAAATGATAGTGGGATATACCCCACCTATTAAATTTAATATAAACTTGAGAATCAAATACAGAATTGAAGAGAATCGTTAGGATCCTTATACTTAACTAATTTGCCAAGGCTTTACCTGTCCTATAAAAAGTTTGTTTTGAAGAAATATATTATATCTCAATTGATCCAATATTGATTTAAGTACTTGATGATCATGTTTATCTCTGGAATATATAATTTGTATATGATGATTTTTTTGTTATGAATTATTCATATCTTTTTATCTTTTTTGATTATAATTTAATTTGTTTTTTATTATATGAAGAGTTTATATCTTTGCTACTATTTATTTTATAAGGCAGTTAAAAATCTGTCTATAATACATTGATTATTTTTTTTTTGATTTTTTGTTGTTATGAATTTTTTAATTAGAATGAAAAGATCTTTTGTTAATATATTTCTTGTTATATAATTGTTTTTT